ACCAGGGCATCGAACCGGCGACCTTCCGGTTACAGATGTGCTTCCCAACTTCCTGCACCACGGTTTATACAAGCTGCTTCTGTCAAAATATCAACATGTTTAATACAAACAGAACTTACTTGAACTGTGGGTGCAGTACTCGCAAACAACAAGGACGTTATTAGCTTGGTCAAGAAGAAAGATTTCAGAAAGTATCCAATCAGGACAAAGCCTCACTTGAACCTAACCTGACCCCAGACCATACACAACAATTTCTAAATGGGTGATTGTGCCAAGTATTTATATTTAAACATACTAACAATAATATACAGCAATAGATCTACTTTTACAGTATACATAAAAAATAAAGTAAAATAGAATAAATTGCCAAATAAAAGGATTCGTATTTAAACTAATTTTTATTCTAAAACATTATGTGATCATATATTATATTAATCACTGTTAAAGACTGAAAATACATTATTAGGTTTGTGTGTAATCTCATGGTGACCATTAGCAGTGTGTCACTGCAGGATTTCCCTTGTTATTCTTTCGTGTTTCTGTGATAGCTCGGTATTATGCGTGGTTTTTGTTTTTGTTTTTTTTTTCAATTTTCCCACCCTTCTCTGGTTTATCTGACTTCCCCTCTTCTTTATTTCCTCTTCTCAGGAATGTTGCTTGGTTGACGCTGTACTTCAGGCTGATACTCAAACAGCTGTGTTGGCAACAGATGTTTGGTGCTTTACAGCACGGTGAGAATGAAGAGTAATGTTACTTTTTGGGTTTTTTTGTTTTGCTATGAGGGACCTTTAGACTAATTTCAGATATTGCTTGTGAAGATTTAGTTTATTAATTGAATCAAATGCTTTTTTTTTTGGTCTTTTAAATCTGTGCTGACAGGTATGGGACAGCAGAGCTTTGCCTACATCATGTCCTCCTTATTGCTCAACTGGTATGTAGAGACCGGCAAAATGCACAACGCACAAACATATTGATTTGAAAGTGAGACGTCACAGCAGACAGTACTTCACAACATTTTGAAACTAATGAAATAGATTGGAGCTGATATTAATAACAATTATTAATTAATTCAATCATAATAATTCATGTGTCACTTTCAGTAGTGCATAGATCTAAATGCAGTTGCGGTAAAGGAAAAGAACACACAAGATTAGGAGTGTAATCCTACATCTGAAGCTTGCCTTCATTAGTTTGGAGAGTCTCTAAAATACTTTAACTATGGCCCGACAGCCCCTCTCAGTCTTTGTCTCATGCATCACAAAAAATAACGTCTCAGTTGTTTAAACAGGCAGATTGTCAGATTAAGCTGGACGTCACAGGCTAACCTTTCTCTTACCTGTTTGTTTTGGTGCTTTCACTCAGCTGTTCATCACCCCTCCCTGCTGCTCCCCTTCTTCTCTTTCAGGTGAAAGCATGTGCCACCGATTGTTACCAGTCATCACATCTGGGCACGCTGTTAAAACGCATGGTTTTTCTAATGACGCCGAACCATCAGGTTAGAATCCCCAGGAGCAGTGGGGACAGATTTCAGGGAAATATGAATTATGCTAGAGAGTCAGCCCACACTGTATTAAAGTAAATCACACAAAGACTTTTGCTTAATTTACAAATAATGAAATACATGGATTCATATTTAAACATTAAAATGGTTGAAAAGCTGGTGTTTTTTCTTATTGGAGCCAATTAGAGGCAAAGACAAACATGTAAAATGCTGGACAGCAGAGCAGCACTGATGCGTTACCGGAGTGATGAGCATCATTCTCACATATGAGTTTGTAATTGAAGTCCCACATTCAGTCGAATTAAGATGTAGTCCCTGTGTACAAGTGAATCCTTGTACCATCCATATAATTTGGAGTAGAGTGCCATTTTCTGGGTTTAGATGATGCTTAAGAAATCAATAGAAACAACTTCAATGAATAAAAAAATAATCTTAATAAATAATGTCTTCTCCCATAATCTTATGTATTTATTTTCACAGATGGAACTGGTGTCACATTTTCCACCCTCTGAGATGGAAAACCTTCGAGTTTGGCACCATGTTCTCCTCAGAGCTCTTTCTCAGGACATCTGCCGGCAAGTAGTGACAGAAATCACTGGTTTAACTCAAAAAGTGCTGGCTGACTGGCAGAATGGAGGATACAAACTGGGACAAGTCGGCAAAGTGGTAAGGACAACCTTAGCAGTGGGATGTAATGGGAGTCTTGCACCCCATCGCTGAATCTTTTTAGCATGGTTTTATCAAGTGAAGGCCTTTTATTGTTTGTGCAAAGGACAAAACAAAAGTCAAAAATAAACATGTACTCATTCATCCTTATTATTATAGCCTTGCATGCAACAAAGACAGAGTTATTTGATGTACAAACATTAAGGCTGCAGCCTCGTTTGTACTTGTGCCGTGACGATGGCAGCTTGATTATAAATATCAGCAATAAATGATGTTTGGACTGTGATAACCTTTTTCCTGCAATAGACTGTTAGTGACCTTTCCATTGTTGGCCTATGAACTCAGAGCTTCCAGTGAGTAATAGTTACGCAGCTGAGATTAACACAGAATGGTTAATGGTTGTTTTTATTACTGATCAGTCCATGAAAACATAATCTTGTGTGAATTTACAAAGTTCCTCCTGTTACCAGAATGCAGTGCTGATGTCTCTCCTATCGGTGGTTCGAGGCCAGTCCTCTCCCGAAGAGCCGTGTGTGTTGTCTTCTGTGAGGATGGTCACACAGCTCTGGTTACGAATGAGTCCAGACCAGGTAGCAAACAGTACAGGCACAAACAGGTGGAGTAAATGAGAAGATGCAAGACCAGTAAACTGTAACCTGCCATGCTGTAGTTGCAGACCCACCCTGTGCTCCAGTGGATGCTGCAGCTTCTCTTGTCACTGTCGGCCATTTTAGTGAAGCACATTGAACCTCACGTGATTTGTCAGGTGAGTTGTTGGCCGTCACGTTAACATTTAAAGAGGGCAGAATAAATTTATTGATGTGTGTGTCTCTGTGTGTGTGTTATCCCAGGCTCTGGTGTGTCTGGATGCTATGGTTTCTCAGAAATGTGCAGATTGGTTACTGCTGGCTGCTTTGGAGTTTCTCTGCTCTCTGGGGAAGATTTTTGTCCCCCCTGACAGCCAGGTGATAAAAGACTTTTTACAAATGATGATTTTAATTTTGGTTTACTTGTCTTTCTATTGTCTTCTTTAGCCTACTGTTGTTGCTAAAGCTGTGAGCCTGCAAGATAGATAGATACACACATTTTGTTGTATAAAGGAAAGTTCGTGATAAGAAGCAAATGATAATAACCATTTTTATTTTCTTAAAATAAAAATAATAGAAACAAATTGCGCATTTTCTCAGTTATGACCCGTTTTGGTTCCAGAGTCAAATTCTTCCGAGGCTGAGTGGCCTGTTTGGAGTCCTTTTGGCTGACGAGTCCTGGCTGTTGCACCAGCACACCCTGGAGGCCTTTTCTCAATTTGCAGAGGTATTAATTTATAAGTCTAACATAATTTTCATATTACATTAAATTCATACACTGTTGAAGCTTAAACGTAACCTTGATATATCCTTCTGACGTCAAAGAATACAAACCACGAAGAAGTAATCTCTCAGAGTTTGAGTGTCGAAGAAACCAAAACCAAAGTGGTTAATTATCTTAGCAAGGTAAGGGAAATCTATTATTTGTTCATGAACATGTATATAAAAACAAAGCATGGTGAAGTCGTCATTTCTTTTGCTGCAGACGGTGAATGCACATGAAGGCAATGAGTTACGGCTGGAGAGGCTCAAACATGAGACACAACACATCAAGCAACACAATGAGAAGCTGGAGTGTAGCAAAGAAAAGCCTTTCAGCAAACCACCTTCTGAAGTTGTTCCAGACTCAGAGGTTAGTTTAATCAACTTGAAATGTATTCAGTGTTTCTGAATATGCATGTTCATGCACAGTCTTGTCTCACATACACGTTTCATATTAGTAGTAGCCGGCTTATATTAATTTAAAGCTACCAGAGCATAAGGAGACAGTGCACATTGCACAAAAGCAGCTTGGATTCTCATATTTTATTAGATGTCAGAGATGATCAGAATCACTTTTATTTTGCTAAGCATAAAAAACCAAATACTTTGTTTAGCAGTAAAAGATTTGAGTGAACGCATCCAACTTCAATGTGACTGTTTGATTGGAAGTCCGCTTTGTCAGATATTCATAAATATGGCAGTGGGTAAGATTTGTGTTTTTGATATTTTCATCACAAGATTTTGCTCCAGGTTCAAACTGTGTCCTATGAAGTACTATAGAACATGAATCATGTTATATAAATAAGTTTAATTAACAAGACCTTTATCTTTTTCTTTAACTATTCATCCCTCTCAGCCATGCCCTAAGAGAGCTCGACAGGAGAACAGCGCAGAGCAGGAATACAGCCGCTATATCCAGACAGCTGAGAGTGCTTTAAAAGCCCTTCAGGCTCTCACTGATGGTAAAACTAACAGTAGTGCACCACCTCCACAGTGGCTGGACTCCAGACTACAGGAGCTCCAGACTCTCCTAACCCACATCACTACAGTCAGACCCAGCAGCTCGAGATAGTTTTTTATCTCAGGGTGTTTTCTTTCTGTATGGAAAACCCACAAAGTCCCCACAACTTTTGCTGCTATTGAAAATGGTTTCTCTCTCTTTTTAAAAAAAAATGTTAATCTTTGTTCTTTTTTTTATTAAACCTGTTTCTGAAACTTGAAGCATTTCATTTCTTTTAGATATAGCGTCGATCGTCTTTCCTGGGTGGGTCGCTGTACTGTAAAACAAAACAGTAAACACATTTGATACAGTAAGTTTTACTTTATTTCACCATCAACCCAAAAGCTACTAATAAATTATGCAATTCTGATTTCACATTCATTCAAAGTGCAAGCCTTCAGTTAATCAAACTGACTCTTTTTGGGAAGACCCAGTATCTCTGAAACGTTTCTTTATGCCACTAGTGAAAATAACCCATAAAAAAAAGAAAAAAAAAAATGAGAGTAGAGCAGATGAAACAGGATTACATTCACCTCTGATTGGCAAATTATAAATGGCTTATTTTGTCCAAGTCTAGCACCATCTGATGAAGAGCTGATCGTTCCAGTTTAAAAGAAAGTTCTCATTATTAAAAATGACAAAATCAACATAACATAAAAAGCCTTAGCCCATCCCTGGCATTACCATCCCTACTGCATCATGTTAAATGAGAAACTACTTCCAGTTTACTGGTCTGTTGGCACTCCAGATGTGGTGCATGGGTTTCAGTTTTCCAGTGGTCAAGTCTTTTACTGCAGATGGAAGTAATGGATCAAACGTAATCACCAGGCGTTATCCTCCCAGTTCAGGTCATCTTCATCTCCCCAGCCATCTGGTTCAGTCTTTGAGAGAAAAGAAGTAAAGGAAAAGGAAAAGCAATCATCCACTGGGAAAAATATTTACAATAGTGGGAAATTCTTAATTCTCATTGATTGTCATTGACGGTCACTTTTTACCCCTCAGCTGTTAAAAGGCTAATGGGCTACTGTCCCCACAGTGGGCAGGTGGCATGGGCACCCATGTTTGTGAATGAGAATGAGGTGACAGGATTTTCAAATTCATACAGTAGGTGCATCTACTAAAAATCTTGAAAAAAGTTAATCTCAGTGACCTTAAATTCAAGGTCAGAGGTCAGTTTTTCTGAAAATCACCTTGGATTTTGAATTTTATACTGTATGTGCATCAACTTGCAAGCTGAGAGGTAACACTTGTGGCCGTCAGTATTTTTAAAGTTAGACATGCATTTGTATCTCTTCTGTGTCTTCTGGCTTGTAGGTTCTTCAAAATCATGGCAGCTGTGTTAAATGGTTACAGGTTGCAGTAATTTCCAAAGTTATACACAGAAGTGTAACTGCCAAAAGAATTTCAAGTCATGTTGGAACCTACCGTCACTAGATAATTCAAAGTAAAATTTGTTAGTGGAAAAAACAAAACATCTAGTTGTAAATGGATGGATTCTTATACAGCGCTTTTCTACTCTCCCAGAGTACTCAAAGCGCTGTATACAACATGCCTCATTCACCCCCACTCAGACAAGCACTTCCTTCTTAAGTGCAATCTAAGCATTCGCACACATTCACACTCCGATGGATGCATCGGAGAGCAACTTGGGGTTAGTATCTTGCCCAAGGATACTTGGCATGCAGACTGGGGAAGGATTGAACCACCAACCCTTCCAGGCAGTAGCTGATCTGCTCTACCACCTGAGCCACAGCCACCCCAAGCCTAACGAGCCTGTGTTTTCAGGCTTGTTACAGTCTGCATATCTAAAAGTTCTACAAACCAACAAGGCCTCCAAAAACAGTGAAATGAAGAAACAGTCATACCTTATAACTGATTGTACACAGATGGTGCTTCACATACAGCGGGTAAAATAAGTGTTGAATACGTCGCCAATTTTCTAACTAAATATATTTCTGACGGTGCTACTGACATGAAATTCTCACCAGTTATTGATAACAACTCATCCAATCCATACTGAGAAATGACAGGGAAGTATTGAAGTATTGAATACTTCGCACGTGATTTTGGTCCATTCTTCCACACAAACATTCTTCCAGGTTCTTTAGGCCCCTTCTATGAACTCTGAGCTTTAGTTTTTTTAATTCAAGTCGCTTTTATTGTCATTTTAACCATGGACAGTCGTACAGTACAGAGTGAAACGAGGCAACATTCCTCCGAGACCCTGGTGCTACATATGACATAACAGATGGCAAGGGAATAGAAAGCACAAAA